TCATCTGAATACTGCTGCCATATCTGGTCTGGTGCTCTTATGTCTGAAGATTCTTGACAAAATTCGAAGAAGAGTCTATAATGCAATTGATCCCGGTCTGACATCTCAACTTCAGTCACTTTCTCATTGTCATGATGTGACTTCTGTTTCTTTTTTTTTTCTTAAAATATTTTTATAACAATTGTTCTTGTTCTGATGTGCTTTTCACCTTAATGTTTGTCTGCATGAATATAAGCATACTACTAGATTGACAACAAGGTCTCATCATCGTACTCTTTAACTAGATAGATGCAATTGTTAATTCTAATAGTTTCTTTTCCTGCACTTCTCACCTGTGGAATGGTTTTTTGATTTCTTGCTTCCCTGCTACCTACAATTTTGAAAAATTTAAATGAAATGCCAATTGCCATCTTCTGTTTTCCTAAATGCCATTCCTTTGTTGTCCTTTTCCTCACTAAAGTTTTTTCATTTTCTTTTACTCCCTGTAACCCCGTGTCCTAGTGACAATATTGCCTTGCCTGGGGTGAAATGATTAAAAAAAAGAAAATGTTAAGGAGTATTCTGTAGCAAAGCCAGATTTCACTGTTACAAGGTAATGTTGTTATCTGAATAAAACTTGTATCTTTTCTGTTAATTCATCCAAAATAATGTAAAGTTACTTATTGCAAATATTAATTTACCCTTAAAATTATAAATTTTACATCAAAGTTTGTTTGTTTTTTATTAAATTTTTGGTACTCTTGAAATTTATAAATGTTAAATCATGAAATAAAAGAATATTTCATATACCCTGTGACAGATAGAACAGCCTTCACATTATTGGGCACAATCTGAAGGTATATTTTACCTGAGACTACGATTATGTTGGATTGTTGGAAAGGAGATATATTTTTGAAGGATGATCCCAATTATATTCATCTGACTGTAAATCACAGTATAAATTTTGTTGACCCAGAAACATCAGCTAACACACAAACAATCAAAAGTACCTGGCAGAATGCCAAAGTGAAAAATAAGTGCATGTGAATTCTTTTCGTGATGTAAGACAAAAAATAACAATGAATAGATTTTTGAACAAATTTTAAGAGATTTCTGAATTTTGGTGTGAATTTTAGTAAATATCAATTCTTTTTATTTTGGGGTGAATTAACAGAAAAGATCCTAAAACTTTATTTCAAATTTCATACAGAACTTACAAATTCATTAGATGATAAATTTAGCAGAATTTCCCAGTTTTATTCTTATTCAGGTGACTTTTATTATTATGAAAGATCTATTTACTAAGCTTTAACACAGGATCACAATAGTGGGACACCCAGAGATCAAACACATGGTCTGAAAAAGGTCTGTGAGATTGCTTGTTAACGTTTATACTGATGTGATTCAAGAGCAGATATAACAGGATATTTTAAAAATATTTTTAATTTCCATTGTTAATATTCCTATTTTTCAGTCAACTCTTCTTCAATTGTCATTTTTAAATTAAAAAAAAAACACTAAAGAAAATGAAATTTTAATTGTTGCTGCTTTGATGTCACAAGAATATTGAACATGAAGCAGGTAAGATAAGTAGAGCATAAAATATTTACTTAAAATTCCTTTGAGCATAATCAATGTACAAGTTTGATAAGGAATGTGAGATAAACAAATAAAAATGTTAGATAAGGAGTGAATTCAAACTTAAGAAATAGAAGCAAATAGCAATTTAAAATGTTTCTTATCTGCACAATTAAAGATGACATTTTACTGTATCTATATAGTTACAAGCTCACAATCCAATCAATTTTTATAAATTTTGTTTAGAAAAATATTGAGATAATTAATATTGAATAATATTAACAGTTGTATATGTAGAGGTGGTAAAAACAATATAAAAACTGTTACATGACCTAATCTTAGATACTATTCATTCAGAAGGGATTGTGAGGAGGGCATGATTTATAACCTGATTTAGATATTACAAAATTTTAAATTGTTAGAATGAAAGAGAAGGACTGTTTAAAGTAATTATCTAAGCATGAACACTTTTTCTCTCTCATATATATATATATATATATATATATATATATATATATATGTATGTGTGTGTGTGTGTGTATTTAGAGAGCAATCCCTCTTTTATACATATTTCATTAAAAACTACTGACAAGGTACTGTGATTAAACTTTTTATTTAATATTTCTTGTGTTTGTACAAGTGTTTTCTTTCCTGGACACAAATTGTGTAAAAACTGTCCAAATATTCTGCATTTCTGAGCACTTTTGGCTACACTTTTAGCCATTATTGAGTCTTATTTTATTTTTACTTTTTAATTGAATATATGGGTTGTGTGTATATCCTTACTTTATCTATGAGTTAAGTCAAAAAAATAAACTTCCATTATTAGATTTTCTTGCAGAATATGTTAGCAACACTTTCAGCATCACATTGTATAAAAAAAATCACTAGCACAAACTCTTGCCACCTTAATTTTAAGAGTGAATGCCCACTCAGATACAAAATAACAGTGATAAAAAAAAACTTCCTAAAGAGAGCAAATGAGTATTCATCCTCTCGTCTACTTTTCCTTAAAGAACTCAACAACACAAAGCAGACACTAGTTAACAATGGTTTTTCTAACTACCTCATTGACCACCAGATTAGACTATTTTTTTCCAAAGTAAATAAAGATACTGAACACACAGACAAAAACAATAAGAAATATCCATTGCAAAAGCCAAATGCATGTCAACTATAAGCAAGATGAATCATCACTTAGAAATATCATAAAGAAATACACTACCCCAGTTGACCTGAACAAAAAATTATTTCAAAAAGTCTAAAACAGCTAACCATCTGCAAAATCAAAACTACAAAGAACAAGCATTATTATGAGTTTAAATACCCCTTAAGAAACTGTGTTTCTAATCAAACCAAATTCATAAATAATAAAATCTACTACATGCCTATCCAGATGTCTTACACCTATCTGACCACAGCTCCATTAGGACTCATTTAAACATACACAGAAACCTAAACCTAAAAGACTCCATCCAAAACATACTAGTAGAAAATACAAGCATAATAAAGAATAAATTTATTCAATAAAATCACCATTGGATTCATCCACAGCCTTCAGATAACTTCGGAATCTTATGCAACTCTTCTGGACGGTCTCCTTGTTTAAGTTGGTGATTCTGCCATAATACTTGCCTTCAGTTCATCTTTTGGTGTTACAAGAAGTTTTGTTGGTCGCTTGCTCAACTGCATCCCACACATAATAATCAAGGGGGTCAAAGTCTGGGGAGTTAGGTGGCCAGATATAAGGTGTGATGTGGTTGCAGAAATTGTCTGATAGCTATGACTAGGTTCTCCAGCTTGTGTAACATAGTGCAGAGCCCTGTTGTCAGACACAGAGTCTTCCAGCAGCCACCCTCTTGATCCAGGGTAGTGCTACCTCCTCAAGGCACTTGATGTAGGCCCCTGTATTGAGTCTGAGACCCTCACCAACAAATTCAAGTTTTTTCTTATCAGAACGGTCAGAGTTGATTTTTTCCAAGCTGCTGTCCTTTTGTAATCACCATTAGATTCATCCAACTCTTTCTGAATCCTCTGCATTGTCTTCAGATTGACACCCAAACTCTCTGAAATGTTCAAGCAGTACAGCATGCTGTCTCCAAAGTTCTAACTGAGTGAATCACATCATGGTGTGCCTTTTCTCACAGACAGTGCCTAACTAACTGTAGTCCACAAAATAAAAAACAAACAATGGGCATGTGTGAAAGTAAAGATATAAAATGGCGACAATTTACCCATCGCACCCCCCCCCCCCACATACACACACACAAAAGTACTGAAAAGGCTTTTGGCCCCAAAATTTGACTCAAAAACCCAACAGAATTTTGGGGGTGGAATCTCTTCTTATCTGGGCTGAGAATTTTTCTTCATATAGATATTAGTTACAATATGAAAACAACAACATGTATCATTGAGACATTTATTCTCTTTCAATTCTATAAAATGGACAAAGATAAAAAGACATTCCTCACATTGTATATATGAGTAACAAAATTCAATGAAGGAAAAAAGGAAAAAGGCAGAAAAGTAGAAAGTATTTTTTTTTTAATTAAAGGCATATTTTGATGGTTATTTACTAAAAAATGTAACAGTTATAGAAGGCAAGAATTTGTGAACATAGACTCGGGTGGGGATAGTAAAGAAACAAGCATTGCTTAGAGCTGCAAATATTGGGTTAGTTGTAGAGATCTGTGATTGACCACGTCCTGAAGGGATATGGCATATAGAAGAAGAACAAGAAGTTGTTCTTAATTCTATTAAGTTGTTTGCAGAAACAATATAAACAGGCCAAAGATAAAATGATTAAAATATCATGCTACAGTTCCACTTCACAGATATTAGTAAAGTGATATTGTAAAATATTTCCCTATTGTTCAATAATATACTTGGTAAACATGGCTGAGAGTGAGAAAATATATAAACAATATTATATAATATTGGCCCATGAGTAAACATATTAAAAAAAACAATAATCAGATTTGAAGAATCAATTCATTTGTATTTATAAAATGGCTCTAATACAGGAAAATAAAATATAATGAATTATGTGAAACAAAAGAATCAAATTTTTGTACCTGAATTGATTTTCATGTCACAGAATAAACAAGATTACACAAATATACAAGAATAGCTTTTTTTGCAATTTTCAGTATTATATTATGATAGGAAAACTATTCTAAAGATTTAGTCTTTAATACTGACATGACACAGCTACAATATGAATATATCTGAAATTTTATCATTTATTTTCAAGAACAGTATTGTATTGAATATTCAGGAAAACTGTAATTTTGAATATCTTGAGAAGCTTCTTATGTTGGCTTTTACAAAGAAAATATTAAATTCTCTTTAACTGTAAAGCCAAATTAATAAAACTAATTACCTGATTAATTGGTTTATTTGAAATGAAATACAAGGAATGTACACAAAAAAGAATAACTTACTGCTGGGAAAGTTTTGGGTGTGACACTAGTTTCTGGATGAAATCGTCCAGTCCATCTCTTCGCTGACGGATGAAGTCAGGATCCAAATTCCCAAATATCTTTTTCCCAGGCAATTTCAGATTTGCGTCCGGATAAGCTTTTTTAACCTAAAAAGTAAAACAAAAGCAAAATATTTCAGGACTGCTACAAAATCTGGTATTAAAAGTAATTTTCCCAGTAATTCCTATTTTCCTTTTACTTTTTTTTTCTTCAGATTCATTCTGCAATGAAGATATCACTAAATGTCTTCTATTTTTAATTACTTATAAGCATAAGTGTTTTACCATACTGAGAATACTAAAAGCAATTATGATAATTCTGGAGAGATTTTATTTTAAGAAAAGAATTCTTCTCACTTGTTCATAAGAGAACACACCAAAAGAGCTGTTAGTTAGAAACTAGGAGTTCATGTTTGTTCCAGAGAAACAATTTTTCAAATATAAATGTATAAAATTCCCAACAGCAAAAATCATTAGCAAAGTTTCATTCTCAAAATTTAATCTTTAAATTTTTTGAATAAATATAAATTTAGAAAAATTAAAAAGAAATAATGATGTAAAGTGTAAAGATAAAAAAATATAATCTAAAATTCTATTTGAAAATGTTCTTTAGTAATACATTGCACAAGAATAATATGGAGGGAAGTAATCAGCCATGATTCCAAATGAAAGGGTAGATATTTAAAAAAAAAAAAGAATTAAAAGCATAAGTTATCATTATTTCTGTGATATTTTCATGGATATTATTCCTGACTTAAATTTCATATATTTTCTGCATAGAATTTTTAGTAAATTCTATCTTACAATCACTTCATACACTCCATGGCAGCAACCTTTTGAAATTGAAGAAATTATCTACAGTAATTTTTTAAAAAGTAACATTTCAAAATACATTTCTGTAAATAGCTATGAAAATGGGTTTTAAGGAAATATATTCATAAATTCATTTACCTGATAAAATGAATCAAATTAAAATTACAATGATTAAAAAAAGTGGTGAAATACTTATATTAGAAATTATTTCATAAAAACAAAATGCCTGAAAAAAATGTAAACATTTGCTGAATTACATTATATTATCAATGAGACCAAATTCCAGTTTCCTTCAAAATGGGACATAGTTAAAATGAACATATCATTATATAGTAACTTGAATGAAAGAGTGTAAAAATATAGCATTTTAATCAGTTTAGAATATGTCACATCACATGGTATGATGAGTATATAAGAAAAATTAAAAATTCTGTAAGCTTGGATGTGAAGGTGGTGTAATGGATTTGGCTTGGATTTGTTAATCCAAGCCAAATTGTTATTTATTTAGCTGAGTTCCAATTCCAGTTGGGTTCATTATATATATTCTTGAGAAAAAGGGATGACTGCCTCTTCTCTACCAGCTATTGGTTAATTAGTATGGTTTCTCACTAAATCATTATTATCTTCAAAAAAGAAAAAAAATCTTACACCCTAAAAGATTGTTTTTGGATTTAAATAAGCTGTAGAAAAAAAATTAATTAAAAATCATATCTGTAAAAAATCTTGTAAATTTTAGCTTATATCTTTTATTTAGACATATTTACAATAACTTATTGGTGATGTAAGATTTTATCATGCAACTAGAGGATTGTTCATCATATTGTAAACAAACATATAAGGAAAGGGATGGATTTTTATTTATTAATCTGATAGATTTTTATTATGTAAAAGTTACTTTTAGTCGATATTTGTATTTGAGTAGACACTCTATTTATTTATTAAACAAAATATTTAATTATTTTTTTCTAATCCTTTTCAAAAGATGAGGAAAATGTGTGAACTGGGCAATAGACAAAAATATCTAGACTTATTAAAAACAACCCAAAAAAACAGAGAAAAAAAAAAGAGAGAAATAGTAAATAAAACTTTTGGGTGATGGTGAAGGTGGGGGGAGGTGAAGTATAGAATTAAACTAAGAACACATGGGATTTGGCTACATGTATGTTGGTTGGGTTAGTTAGGGAATGGCTGATAAATAATTAACTATTAAGTTTAACTTAGTATGAGTTGTTGTGTTATCTAATATCAAGAGAAAAAATGAGAGGAAAACTACTCTTAGTACTGGCAAGTTACCATTTTTCTTAAACACTAGGGAGGGGAGGGGAAGATAAATTAAGAAGCAGGCTGATGGCAACACCACATACATATGCACTGAGGAACATTCTATTTGGTCAAATGTCTCGTCTTTTACTAAGTTGGCATCACATAAAAGAGGAATTATCTTTCAGATTTTATAGCTAAACCTCCTCTACTTCTGGGCAGGTGGGTTGGGGGGTTGTATCAAACAAAAAAAGTTCTTGGAGGAGTTATTTTTGAGTGGTACAGAAGAAGCTTTAAGCTAAAGAGTATATTCCTAAAGTTATATATATATATATATATATATATATATATATATATATATATTCATGAATTATTCATACAAAAACAAATGCAAAGGTTAATGATTTAATTGGCGAGAAATCCATCGTCGCAAACAATTCAAATAATATACAAAAACCTTCGAACCTGTTATGAATGAAAAGATCCTTGTTTCTATAAATTTCTGCTGCATTAGTTCTTATTTTTACTACATATATGTAAATATAAATATATATATATATATATATATATATATAGGGTGCCATTAAATTGTGGTCATATTATATTTTTAATTTTGCACATGTTAATTGTTTATTTTTCATTTTGTTGACTGCACAGTATAGTAGGGTCAGTTGGGCACCATCTGTGATGAGAAAAAAGCACAATGACATAATTTACTCTGCCAGAAATTTGGAAATGCCATGCTTTTACTGCTTGGCATTTGTGCAGGAAGCTTGAATACAAACATTTCAAAGTGTTTGGGTGTCACTCTTAGGTCAATGCAGAGGATTCAGAAAAAGTTACAGGAGTCTAATCGTGAATACGAAGGTACAACAGCTCAGAAAACTCACTCTGATAAGAAAAGAACTCCCAAATTTGTTGGTGAGGGCCTCAAACTCAATACAGAGGCCTACATCAAGTGCCTTGAGGAAGTAGTGTTGCCCTGGGTCAAGAGGGTGGCTGTTGGAAAACCCTATGTCTGGCAACAGGACTCTGCACTATGTTACACAAGCAGGAGAACCCAGTCATGACTATCAGACAATTTCTGCAACCACATCATACCTTACATCTGGCCAACTCCCCAGACTTCAACTCCCTTGATTATTATGTGTGAAGTGCAGTTGAGCAAGAGACCAACAAAACTCCTTGAAATACCAAAGATGAACTGAAGGCAAGCATTATAGCAGCATTCACCAACTTAAACAAGGAGGCCATCCAGAAGAGTGGTAGGAGATTCCAAAGTTGTATGGAGACTGTGGTTGAATCCAATGGTGATTTTATTGGATAAATTTACACTTTAGTATTTCAAGATATTTATGCGTAATTTTGGTAAATATATCTGTTAAAATGAGACGTCAGTGTTATTTTTCATTTTTTGCATAATTTAGACGACATCCATCGCACCCTATATATTCATAAAATGTCAACTATTATAATCATATCTTGTTCACAATTTCTTTGCCAAGTTTTGTCAACACTGCAATTAGAACAATTAATAAACTGAAGCAACTAACTTTTATAGTGTAATTGCATTTTGAAAAAAATGAAATGAGAATGAATTCTTTTTGAAAGTTCTTTGAAGATTATCAAATATTTTTATGTATGTACATTAATAAATCCATAGCTTAATGATGAAAATAGAACTCATTTGATGGAACACATTTATATCATAATCTCTTTCCTTGTCAATGTACTTAAGCCAATGTTCCACCACTCATAATCACATAGCTCAAACATTAAACAGTGAAAATTCAAAATGAAAATTTAGCTGATAACTGAATCAGGCTAGAGACAAGGAGTACTATACAGAGTGAAACAAATAAATCAGTGAGTCTAATAGTAACAGTTCTGAAGAATTTGTCATATTTAGAAAGACTTCTCATCTCATCTGTTTATTTGTCATGCCATATTTGCAGTATGAGAAGAAAAAACAAAATTTCTCTTTGACTTTGTTGCCCAGAAAAAAGTATTTCTTTTAATAATGTATCATTCAATCAAATCAATTACTTAATGTAATAGGTTATCTATGTTTCAGCAATTCATAATAAAGAATCTTCTTTGAATTCCCTTAAGTTCAAAAAAAGTACATTCCCACCTTGTAGATTATATTTAGATTTAGGTGTTGAAAACTGTTCTAGATTTAGGTACGCTTTAATTCATTCTGGAATTCCTTTTCTTCATCACCATTGACTATCAATTCCTTTTTCTTGTCACCATTTTGACAAGTATTTAAACACTGGCATTCTCTTCTGTAATCACTTTCTTAGATTCAAAATTTTTCCTTCAGCTTTTAAACTACAGTTTACTTACTTAGACAAACATAAATAGCTGAGAAAATATAAAAACACTTCTAAGATCCTTCCTTGTACACCTGTGAAAGGATGAAGTTCACAATGGATGAAATATGATGGCAAAAACAACCATATTGAAGATTCTAGTTTATAAAATAATATATAAATTTTGAAACAGATAAGCCATTAACTAAAAGTATTTTTTCTGAATGATTAAAATTAAAATTATTTTATGCTATAAATTACAAAGCTATTTGAGCAATTACTTTGAGCACAAGTAAACTATATGTTTAATTATAGAAATTCAGTAGTCCTTAATCTTGAAATTTCAGTATTATTTTGGTAACACCTATAGTTATATTGTAATGTTTTTTTTAAGAAGAATTCACATTGTCTTTATGACTTTTGCAGTTGAGTCACCATTAATACCTTACTAGTAATCATCAAAGTAAATGTAAAAATAGTGACTAATACCTGTAGTTCGTCAACAAACTATCCCTTCCCCACCCGCCGTGTTAGCATTCATTTCACTCAACACTTCAATTATCTGTTGACATCAATATTTTCTCAAAAAAATCTGAAACACTTACTTATTCCCCTTCTTTCATTTACAATTTTCATTTTTGTATATGTGGTAGAAATTTCTATTTTGTCTTAACTACTTCCTATTTTAATTGTACTGACTTTCAGATTGTACTAAAATAA